ACATACACACACACACTCACCATCTAATCCAGTTCTACAACTATCATATTAGGATATTTTCGTATTCAAATTTGGTTTTAAATGTAGGCCTTATTATGCGTCACACACACACACACACACAACACACCTACACACACACACTCACAGTAACTTTCACACACACACACACACACACTCACACACACACTCACACACACACTCACACACACACACTCACACACACACACACACACACACACTCACACACACACACCACTCTCACACACACACACACACACACACACACACACACACACACACACACTCACTCACTCACTCACTCACTCACTCACTCACTCACTCACTCACTCACTCACTCACTCACTCACTCACTCACTCACTCACTCACTCACTCACTCACTCACTCACTCACTCACTCACACACTCACACACTTCACTCACACACACACACACACACACAATATATATATATATATATATATATATATATATATATATATATATATATATATATATATATAAAATAAATAAATAAATAAATAATCTATAAATATAAAATATAAAATAAAATAAAACCTTTGTATTACAAGTCTTAATGTGATAATTTTTTATCATTATTTATTTCTTTTTATCCTTAATGATGTTAATCTACATATTACATGGTAACAAAACATTTAAGGGAGGACCCAAGAAAAAAGGTACAACCAGTAAAAACAACAAATATGTTACCTTCTTCCGTCAATTAAATGCTTGTTTATCTTTTTCTCTTTCTTCTGTTTCTTCAAAGTTTCAGGGGAGATCACTTTTTTCTTAGCTTTCTTTGAAGCTGCAGGAGAATTTACTTTATTCAAGTATTTGGAAATCTTCTGAAGTTTCTTCGGAATCTCCTGTGTGTCAACATCCTTTGGTGCACGGTTGACCTTGTCCCTAGAAGAAAAATTTGCTTCAACAGTGTATGAATATACTCTGCGGGAGAAAGTTACCAACAGCCAAAGAGTACATCATGATGGCTTTAGTACTTCTGTTGGAAGAGAGATGTCCCACATTTAGAATTATAAAATCTAAAATTTGTTGCTGTCAGATATCCTTTCCTTCCTTCCTACATATCATAATAAGGTTAAAATGATAACTTCAGGAAACAACCAAGTTGAAAATATCATTACAATAAAATCTTTTGTATAGATGTTGAGGGAGGATGGATACATATGCATATCTAATCTATTAACAAGTTTTATTTGTAATAATATTTTCTCAGCAGTAAATAAATTGTTAATGGAAAGATCTGCTTTTGGGCATAGCAAACCTGTTAGAGGATCAGGTAGTTTTCAACACTCCTGAAAATAACACACAACTTATTTTCATCTTTAATGATACAAGTAAAATGGATTTCCTGACATTAAATTCCATCATGAGCTATACTCCACCTTTTTTCTTTTTCCTTTTTCTTTTGAGATAGTTCTTTGCAGTCTCTATACTCTAGACTGTTACCATTAAGAGCATTTAAAATGTTTTAAATACTTAGTTATTCAATATAATATATCACCTGCAGATTAGCAGCTGCGGCTCTGCTGATACTCACTCCTTTGGGCCCTGACTTCAACTACGTAACTTGTGGGTGTCTTAACTTAAATTACTTGATGAATAGTGTGTATATCACTGAATATCACATAATTTTTCCTTTATGTAAATTAGTTATAATAGTAATAATAATTTCTTTCCAATCTAACATATAGATATGATAAAACATAAGAATTCAAAAATGAATTAAAAATAGATAAATACAAAAAGCCTTCAACCCTATACATACACTACTATTTGACATTGACAACAAAATGAAATAAGAAATAGCCTATAATAGGTAGACTAACCTTCTTCACATTTTCAAACCATTGATGGCATGTACATGAATGGTCCCCTATAGTTTTATTCTGTGAATTTCATGTGCTAATGGCATTTGTGGCACCACAGAGTCAATTAGTAGACCTACCTGACCTAACCTGATTAATTTAACCCATACATATTGTGCTCAAATAGTAAGATAAACATGTCACATCCACTGTGATTTTAGTATATTAATTGTATTTAGACAGCTGGCTCCACAAGTACTTGGTCACCAAGGACTAAATTACCAGTCCTATCTATCTCACCTCTTTAATCTTTTTCTTAATTTTTGGAAAGATTCTTTTCTATTTCTTATTGCTATTCATACTTTAATAACATTATAATAACAATGTCAATAATAATAATAACAGGATTAATAACAATTACATTAGAAAGAAACATTTTTTCAGATGAATCAAGGATAGGGGAACTCACAACTAATTGACTCCTTGGTGGCTGAGAACTTGTGGAACCATCATACTTTTTTTTTATATATTATGTTATCATTATTGTTACAGTTTTTATGATCAGCTCTGACATCATGAATAAAAAAAGGTTATTATCAAAACTAATAGTAATAAAAAAATAAGAAATAAAAATTCCGCAAATTAAGACAGAGTAACAGCACGGATGGATTTGGGGAAAAGTTGACTTTTATAGTACTGATGCACAAAGCTAGAGCAATCTGAAGATGATATTCTTGTAGAGGACAAAAAGTAGCAGTAGCAGTGGCTTACGAAGTGACCACACCTCTCTGATGTAGTCCCTATTACTCCAGCCACTCCTGTGAAATCTACAAACATCAACCTTTTCCTCAGGCAGTACACAAAAGGCACACCTAGTCATGGCAATTGATATTGTTGAATAAAGTTTGTGACATGGAGTTGGGGAGTGTGAGTGCATCCATATTGTAAAGAATTACTGTCATATTTCTCTATCAGGAAATCAGACATGATTGCCTAGGACTTGAGACATAGCAAAGCCTTTCTAAAAATACCACCCACAGAAATAAAATAAACATATATGAAAAAATCCAGTTCATTAAATATACATGATATCTAAAATAAATAAGGTAATTTTTCAAATATTTCTGCTAAATGGATCAACATGATATCATTGGATTTCTCTCACCGTCTACAATGCAAATATGCAAGGCTATTGTGCAGACGTCCCCCCCATTAGAAACAAGCTTGGCCCTGATAATAAGAGAGGGCATGAAAGTTACCATGGAAATTGCAGGGTAATGTATGAATAATCAGTAAATTGGGAAATGCAACCCCACACCATTTTTTGGGTGAAGAGACTAGTTTCCCAATAGCTTTCGTCGTGTTTCGAATGAATCTAGCACTAATTTCCTTCGCAAACAAAGCATAACTACAATATCAGTTTCGATAGCTGGGGAGGGTATGATAGCCATACATATCAGGGAATTTCCAAAAATATCAGTAGAATACAAGCAAGCATAGTATAGTAACATATTTCTGGGTCATATAGAGGGCTCTGCCCCCTTAAACCCCCTTTCAGGAAGTGGGGGGGCAGCTGTCCCCCCCTACCCCGACCCCCCCCCGCCTGGTCTACAAACTCTTCACCTCGTATGTTCTGGCAGGATTGAGCCTGGACAAACCAGGTATCTAATACATTTTCAGTAGATGTAGGGGACTTCGTTCGCTTATAACCAATTTCAGGGTGGCTATCACCCCCCCCACACCTGCTTGGTCTGCAAAATCTTCACCTCATATGTTCACGTAATGATCTATTCCATATCTGATTGGTTCTATTGAATGTCTATGTTCACGTCACGTTCACACATGAATCTAATTGGCTCATTTGATTTCCCTCGCATACGTCATTGGCTACAAAGCCATCCGATTTCTGTCACTCTTAATGACTTTTTGTCATTTTGTTGCAGCGCTGGAGGCAGAAGGTTACTGTATCTCCTGGAAAACATGGATTTTATACCATCTATAACATTGTTATTATCAATTTGCTCAGGAAATGGTATAGAAGAAAACTATCATGATGTGTTCTACCACATGGTAAGCTTAGATTCTTTTAATTAAGTGTGGGGTTGCATTTCCAACAATACTGAATAATCTTCACAGAATCAGTCACTTAACTGTCTAATGAATAGTCTGTATACTGTCTAATGCAGGGGGCTGTGGCCCCTGCAACCTCTCCATGGGGGCTACCATCCCCAAATCCTGCCCAGAAAAATAAAGAATTCTCCACATAATCATGGCAGGAGGAGCTTCGGACATACTTCTGCATGGCAATAGTACATTCTCTATAGCTAAGAATACGTGAAGGATTCTTTCTGGGCTGCAGTCGGGGGTGCCAGTCCCCATGGAGGGTTTTAGGGGGCACAGCCCCCTGCATCATACAATATAGTGACTGATACTGAATATATTATCCAGAGTTTACCCTGCAATTTCCCTGGTATCTTTCATGCCCTCCCCAACCATCGGGGCCAAGAATGTAGGGGTTTGGGAGGTTTCTATATATATGGAAATTAAAAAGTGAGGATAATCCAACGATACCAAAATTATCACGGAACAATTAGAAAAATATATATACACATAAACTCATACTTCTCATCCCGGAGTCGCTGTTGTTCATATGGGTTTTTAACTCCTCGGTGTTTTTTTCCTTTGGTGTGGCGAGTCATCCTTTGTGTATTTTTCTGTCTTGCTGTTATCTGATTAATAGAACTATTCTATTATTACTAATTCTTGATTGTAATAGTCACGTCTTCAATGTACTGTTTACAGCT